AATAATTTTTTCCTTGCTCAACGCCAGTACTTCTTATGGAGCAGCTTTGGAAACCTATTTTTTAAAAATGCAATGGATGCGATATCATAAGTTCATAATAATGACTTAATTTAATTTAGGGTTTTTTTTTTATGGGGAGCCATAACAAATTCTAAGCACGTGGAATCCCAAGAACAGTTGTTTCTAAGTATTAGATGTGTTGTTGAGCGAATCCAACAGTCCCCGTCTAAGAGAATTCTAGACTCACATGACACTCACATGATAAGTGAATAAACAAGGGTTAAAAAATGACTCTACTCTAGCTCAAACCACCACAGTAAAAAGCTTGGTTGATGCAGTCTTTATTTTTTGTCCGTCAGAATGACTATCCGCATTCTGTGCAATATAAAATCTACAATAGATTGAAAAGTCAAAGCACAAATTACTCAAAATGTTCTCATTTGTCATGAATGTACAAATGTACAAACCTGGAGGTGGTCAGTCAGTGCCTCTGTTGGTCAAGATATGCTCAAATTAAGAAAATGTACTTATGTAATTTAAATGATTTTTACAAAAATATTTGCATTCCAGTTTAGGGAACATGCTTTATGTTGAACTATTTCTGTTTGCACTGCTGAACACAAATTGCACATATGATACTTTATCAAACTATTCAAACTTCTGCGATTTTAACCAAAAACTACCAAAAAAGGGGCACATCCATGCTAACTGAAGTTGGGATGAAAATATGTGATGTATAAGCACATTTGATGGAAGTTTTTACCTTGGTCTAGTTTGATTCTCGTCAGAATAACCTTTGCTTTCCAACAGGGTATAACGTATGGAGTTACATGAAAAGTGGGCTGGGGAAAATCCTGAAATATGTGACGTTTGAACATTATAGGGGCTAATCTGTATGAAATGTTTGTGTAACAATGACAATAAAGTTGAATAAAAACTTTATAACATTTTTTCTGCTTTAAACCTAAAGTAGAAGACCCAAAAGACTCTCATTTGGCAATGCAAATGAATGGTTTCATTAATTCAATTTCTCAATTGTCCATAAATGATGTGGAGATGCGAATGCTCACATTTATGCTGAGAAAGAATTTTGCAGATTGCAATGCAAAAACAGCTTATTAGACAAGATTCAAACATACAATCAGAGTTAGGTGGTCTGTAATCCAGATAATTTTGTTTTTGTGCCCAAACATTGCATTTGAGTGAAGGCAATGGGTACAAACCAAAAGAAAAATATCCCATTATCAAAATTAACATGTTTTTTATTTTTTTTATTTTGGACTTTACCCAAAATATCACAACTTTAACCTATAATGTTAATTTATTTTTAATTAACAAGTTTTTTTTAAATATTAATTCCTAAAGTAAAGAAAAACGTGAAGACATATGAACACAGTTCTTGTGATAATACAAATTAGTTAATGTGACAGAAACAAATAATTAGCAGATATATACAGTTGAAAAATGTCGTAGTCATTGTAAATAAGCTCAAGTGTCAACACAGTTTCCTGTCACCTAGTAAAAATAGGATAAACCATTTGTTCAAAATAACACCCCCTGACTGTAATTCTCTCCCCACACATCTCTGCACACATGTTTTGCCAGCTGAACTCCTGTGTTTCACATTCCTCACAAAAGGCAGGGACTGCAGCCCAAAAGCCTTCTATGACAGGAAACATCACAGGAAGCCACTGCCCATGAGTGCACAGGAGCAACTGGAGTGAGACCCCAGCCCACCGGGCCGGGTCAGGCAGTGAGGGACAACAGACCGCGCAGCTCTTATTGGGCCTCCAATCTCTATTGTAGATTTGTACTGTAAAAAAAGAAAGAAAAAAAGTAACGTGTGATCAATAAGAGATTTTCATGACTTGTTTGTTTGAGTTAGGAAGACTTCCGATGTTGTTTTCATTTTCATCTTCCGAAAAGTTTAATGTATCTTTATCATTTAATAAAAACTGATATTTTGAAAGTAAAGAGCAATGTCTGTAGATAATGCAGCATGAAACACCGTTGCTTAGACTTTTTCATGGAGACTTTAGAACCTTTAAGAGAGCATAGAAGCAGACAACTGCCAGGGAGTCGAGTGTGCTTTCAGTTTCCATGGTGATACGCAATGAAAGAAGCAGCTGCTGTGGGTTGTGAAGAGGGTTTTTATTGCTGTTTGCCTGTGAAGACCTTCGCTATACATGTGCATGCGGGGCTGTGTGTGCGTTACATGCTGGATGCAGACGTTTTGGGCGGGTCTGCAACAATAACAGAATCCCCTAAGGAAGCAAGCCCCAAATCTTAATCTCACAAAGTATAATCTCTTCAAAGTGCCTGCTCCGGGGGGGAAGTGTGTTTAGATTAGTGTCGACTAACCTACACATGGCACAGGAAACAAAAGAGCCTCCAGCCCGTCATCAAAGGAGCAGCAGATCTGACACAACATCACGAGTCCACCTGAGTGTGCCACTTCAAACCATTCCTCTGTCAAGCTAATTCTTCAGAGTATCCTATCACAGCAGAGATGTTATGGTGAGACAGATTATTAGCATCAATGCATTGTTGGTGGAAACTTGTAAACTACCATGCTTGTTCATTTCTGTACAGAATTATTCCAACTGATTGTCACTTGGCATGTCTGTACAGCTTAAATGTTTTCTAATGAATGGTCCGACAATGTGGATTTGAAACATGATGCTCCATATAAACAAAAATCCCATTACCATCATCATTAATCATGATAATAAATAGTATCACTCATTGAAAAGAACAGATTTTCATTTATTTTTTCATACAGAGTGTTATTCATGAGAAAAAAATGACAAACATCTTTCATTTTCACTTTAGTTGTATGTAGTTGTATGTATGTTGTCAACTACGTAGTTGATTTTAGCTAGGCAGCTCAGTAAAATGCTAATAGAGAGAACTGATCTTATAATTGATAGAATGGTTGAAGTATCAGTCCATTGAACAGCAATTCTGGAACAACCAAGCTGCTAGCTATTATTATTAGCTATTATATACCTTAAAGACACTACCTGAAATAGATGGAAGAAATTTGACGTTACCTACAATGGGCATAACAACTGATAGCCTTGAAGTATGTTTATGTATTTAGCAGATGCTTTTATCCAACAAAGTGGTCCCTGGGTGGGCTCGAACCAACAACCTTTTGGTCAACAGCTAAATGCCCCACAGACCCTTTAAGTCCCTTTAAGTTGTCTTCGAAATGCATCCCAGGTCTTAAGAGTTTGTAGAATCCAGGGGTTATCAATTTGTACCTTTTTCAGAGTATTTTTGACCCAGGAATGGTTATGTACTCGATAACAGCCCAGGTAGTGAGCTCTTTTCAATTGACAGCCATTAGGTTTCCTTATTTTTAGTAATCCAGGCCAGTATGATGCTCAAATGTCTTTTCCCAATAATAGAGTCTAAAATCCGGTACACCTAGACCTCCCTGTTCTTTACTGGTCATTAGTTTTTTAATTGCACCGTTTGGTATAGGTTTTTTCCATGTAAACTTTTGACACCAGCTCTATTAGAAGAAATTGGAACAAAAACAAGATTCCTTGGATCACGCCTAGATATCTGAATCGGTAGGAGGATCCTTTAAAAGAAAACAGGTTATATCATTCAAAAGGCTAACTACCAACAATTACTATAGCTTCTGTTTTACTGGTGCAAATCTTGTATCCAGAAACATGGCTAAACTCATCAAGGGATTTTAGAAGCACAGGTCCAAAGAATCAAATGCAGTTACCGAAAAGCGGTACCCTATGTTGAATATTTTCATCTTCTGTAACACCCATTATGAGATGTTCTGCTATTATCAGTTCTTAATACTAAGCGCAAATACACAAGGTGACAGAACATCTCCCTTACAGGTGTCATGGCCCAAAGGGAAGAAATCTGAGCAATGACCACTCTCTCTCACACTGGATTTTGGGTTCCTGTAGAATGTTTTTATCCATTCAGTGAACTCATGCTCAAAGCCCATTCATCTGCGTGACTGCTCTAGAAATAAGAAATCCGAAAGCCTTCCTGGCATTTAGGCTGAAAAGCACTGACGGAATCTCCTTCCTCATTGCAATTGTTTTTAAATTTAGGTTCACTGCCTTGTTTTTGGCATTAAGGCCAGTTTGCTTAGGCTTAAGCAGATTTCTTTGTAGATGTTTCTGAATTCTCTTTGCCAATATTGAAGTCAAGTTCTTCATATCTATACAGAAGGCTGATGGGGTAGGATGTAGAGAGAGTTTGGTCTTCATTCTCCTTGGGAATGACACAGATTAAGGCTCCTGACCATTATCCTGAGGGGTCATCCATTGTCAGTGTCATTGTACACTTTACATAAAATAGGTGTTAATTCATTCGAAAATACCTTGTAAAATTCTCCAGGTATACCGTCAAAACCTGGGATTTGCCATTTTTAAGGTTGCCAATGCTTTTCTTAACCTCTTATGTTTTAGGCCGTGCCGTGGCCTGAGCTTCGTACCATTTTAGCTTGGGAATTTTATTAGATTTAAAGAACAACTAGTTTTTATTGCTTTTGTTGAGACTTTCTTGGCATACCGTGCTGTACTCAGCGTACTGTGGCCTCCCTCTGGGTCCCTCTGCAGGGACTGAATCCATCTTTCTATCCTGCAAATGACTGTCTGTCTCAGAGGCGACAGGTTTCCCCGCCTCCTGTGTAATGAAAGGCTGCGTTGTAATGGAAGAGCGAGCAGCATCAGAGAACACCTGTAGGAAAGCAAACAGCCCCGGCCCAAAAAGCCGCTCTAATAAGGAGGAAAATGAACAGCCGTGCCAACACATAATGTGCTTATGTCATGTGGGAGGATTAACCGGTGAGCACTTGATGTGTGCACTTGAACCGAAAGGTTCGGTGATGATGGTGAACCGATGTATGTTCTCCTGACTGTATTTTAAAAAAAATACTGTGCACAGATTCCCCTTCACCCCGTTTGCTCTCTACCTGGCAGCAGTGACAGTTTATTGCTTCTCTGCACTTTTATCAGGTGATTTATTCGTCTTGGATGTGGTGGCACTCCAAAACGACTTTGATTGAGGCAATTAAGCCCGAGGCCCTGGACAAGCCCTGACTCATATGACAGAAAAGAAAAAACAAAACAAAAAAAAACAAAAAAATCCTCGAATGCAAAGATTTCAGTCAATTTTTCTTTGCTACAAGGTTTTTTCTAATAAAAACAAGACGGTCTGATGCTTTATTAGAACATTGTGTTGAGGTTAAGTTGAAACATCGAAATAGAACAATTTGAATGACATGCCCCGTATTTCATCATAATCAAAGTGAAGTTGATGGGTAGCATATTATGGGAGCGCCACCAACTGTAAGGCAGGGTTTTGGCACTCGTCCCAAAAGTCGTTTCACTGGAAAAGCGTGACGCGTCAGGACGAAAAACGACATGCTTCATGAACCATTCAGCATCGCGTGACGGTTTCCAATGTGTCGGCGTCCCTGAGCATTTGGAAGCTTGTTCTCAACTCTTCCTCAACAAAGATTTGATCAGTATCTGCATTCACTGGCATTGCAGGAAGAAGGGATCTCACTGAAAGATCAGAAACGAATAGCCGACTTGAAGAAACTTTCTGCAGCAATCAGAGGGTGCAAATTGCTTGTCAAACGTACAAACGGGTTTGCTGATCCATGTACTTAAAGCACTTAATCCAAACACAATTGATGGATTTAATCTGAGGTGTAAATTCCGCTTGCTCCTACATGTACAGAGAAAAATCAACTTTCCAATGCATTCCAAAGGCATTTGATAGTAGATACAGCTGTGAAAGTGCACAAATATTAAAATTGGGGGATGTAATTGTTCAAATTTTTTCACATTTGTTCACAGTGTCCACGCTTTTAGTTTAGTTTAGCTTTTATCTGACACACAACAGTCAGAGTTGGTCAAAAAAGTACACGTAGTCCCTTTAGTCCACGGTGGGCTGTTGAAGTATGTTAATTGCCACTTTGCCTTGAAGTTAATTGATGGTGAAAGCTGTGGAGATATAAAACAAACTTTAGCCACGACACACTTTCAGTACACATTTTTCCTTCCTATCTCATTGTTTTCAGTTTGTCGGTAGCTTTTTTTTTTATCACCAGCAAAAATGTGTTTTATACATCAAAGTCTGGAATGCAAAAGATGTTTCTGACTAAAGTTCTACAAAATAAATATGATTTCCACTTTCATCTTCAGCGTCTTTTTGTGGTGTATTCAAACTGCCCAGTATTTGTAACAGGCCAAACAAAGTCAGTCATCTTAATTGTGATTTTGCCTGACATCATTATTGTTATCAGCACACAGATTTGGGAGCCTGTGACTGTTTGAATCACTGATCGGAAGCAGAGAAGAGAGGCAAGCATTATGTTGAGTTTTCCTGAAACGAAATCACACTGCAACAGGTTAAAAAAGGAGAAAAAACAACCTCTGTTGTGAGAGTTGACAGAATGGTGGGAAAAAAAGCAAAGATTTGATTGCAGCACAAAAGCTGCATTCTGATTTCTGAGAAGTATTTAACACAAAGACATATATTCCCAAGACTCTGAAAGAGTTCCAGTGGTCTGTTTTAGCTTAAGTGCAGGCCTTTACAACCTGCCAAGGGCTTGAAATTTACACCCTGAGCTTTGTTTAACTTTTTGTAGTCTCTCAGTAGCCTAAGTAACCCCTAGTGTGAGAAAAGTACAGGAAAGTGCTTGATGCCTTTAAAACTGAAGGCATCAGTTCATTTTATTATTTACTGTCTTTTATAGCTACAGTTGCCTCAACTTGTTTGACTGTAGAATGATGATGTGAAACTAGTTTTTCCCCTAGGCATCTGTGTGCCTTTTCCTATAGCTTTCTTTCTGATTTACTCGTACGTTAGCAAGTTTCTTTGTCTACCTTGCATTACTTGAACCTGTTGAACTACTTGTTTCCCTGGTATTCCTTCCCCAAGAATATTGTGCAACACGTGTTATGGGAAGGAACTCTACAAGGCAGAAAGAAACAGGAGATGTGAAGGGTGAACAGAAACAGAAAGAAGCTCCAGCTTATTCATTTTCGGTGTTAATCGAGGTTATTTAGCACAGCTAGAACAAACATGGCAACATTACCACTTTCAGTTTGAGTTGCCCAAAATATAAATTCATAAAACATTGTTAGGCTGGCCTTCACACCGGGAAGTGACTGGATTACAGGGAGTGAAAATGCAATATATTGTATTGTCTTGTCAAGGCTTTTCACATAATGAGTCTAAAACCGGGTCCTGTTACAGACAGACTAACTGTCTGGGGTGTAACTGTGAAATGGGATATCCCCTCTCATTTTAATGTGAGTCATCATATCATTTCATGAAAATATATTTGATAATCCTGATACTGACTCACGATAGGCCGAGCAAAGTCAGAAGCACTCTTTAATGATAAAGGCCAATGAGGACAGCACTATGTAAAGTTGAGCTTAAAAAGGCCGGGCTACTGTTTTGAAAACTTGGGCACAGGAAAAAATTTGTGTTCCTATGCAACACAAAATTGATATGACAAAAATAACATTGAACATAACAGCAAAAGCTTGAATAATGATTAAATAAGAGACGTATTTACCATGCATTCCTTCCACCAGCTCAGTAGAAGTCTGATTAGCATTTGAAAGTAGAATTCCTGGGAGCGCTTTTGTACAAAACTGAGGCCTGATGGTGGGATGGATCGCACTGGAAACGCTGTGATAATCTGCTGCTCCATCAACAGGTAGGCCTATGGGGTACCGGCACAAGATCGCAGCACACTGTACGCTGTCCGGCCTTTCATACTTTGTTATTCGGTAGCTTGAAGCCGTGTAGGAGGAGGGTGAGTGGAGGCTGGCAATTAGTGTGTGAAATGGATATCTTCTGCTTTTCCCCCTCGCTCTGCCTCGACTACAAAGTGTTAGTCTTTCAGCAGAACACTGACATGAAGAAAGTGCTGGCTGTTGTTTGTGGATCTCATCTATGTTCACAGTACAGGTCTGAAGTTCTTAGGTAACTGTATCCTGTCTCATTATCGACTCAGCACTCTTTATTCATCAACCTTTTTTCTTATATATATTACCTTTAACATTATCTGGAACAGGTGGAACTGTTAGGTCATATCCAGAAAGGACTAATTTGATCAATAGTAAAAACACACGTCCTCAACACTGATGTATAGTTTTACACAAGTAGTCTTTATTATGAACGTTAGCATGTGGTAGAGAAATAAACAATTTGGTGTAGCTATTGACTCAGCAGGCGTATAGTTTTGAAATAATAAAAATATTGTCCGCAAAATAGTTACATTGTAAATAAATAGCCTTTCAAATAGCAAATTGTCCTTAAAATTGTGCATGTCTCTTATTTACAGAACGTACAGCAAACATTTACAGTGGTTAATTTTTCACAATTATTTAGTCAAGAAATTCTACATCTAACCCAATTAGCTATTTGTTTTAATATAAAACATTGTTCATATTTATTTCTTTATTATTTGTGTGTACAAAGAAGTGCAGCTTGAGTTTGAGAACTTTAGAAGGGGCCAAAAACATACATTCCGATTTAGGTAACAATGACTGAACAACCAGTGAAATAGCACTGTTAACTTTCAAACGGAACGTTTAGATTTTCTAAATTTGAAATTTTGCTGATTTAAAGAGTGTATATACAGTTTACATGTGGCAGCTCACATGGAAACACTGTCAGGGTTCAGCCTGCTATTGTTTTCTATGATGAGCAAGTGCTTTTTTAAAAATCAAAATGGAAACAGAAAAGTGTAAAAAAAACAAAAACAAGCTTATAAAGCACTAAAATAACACATGATAAATTTGAAAAGGTTCATATTATCATTTTAAAGTTAAAGAGCTTGCGGATGAATGATACAAAACATGTTCACTGGCTAAAAATGAAAAGATTCTTTAAAATAATCTGCATGAAATGGTTCCGTTTTTATACTGTAAGAAAAAAAAGCTTTGTCTTGGGGGTGAATGTTCAACACAGAAAACAAAGATACAGTGATTCACATCTAAAAGTATTGTAAAATGGTAGAAAATACTCCCCTTTGGCACCTTATTGGGGGTAAGCTGGACCGAGCTGCAGACGAGATGATGGACCACCCACTGTTACTGTTACTATAAACATGTTATTTTAGATGCATCTCACTTGTGAGGGTCTTTTAATCTTTAGAAACATGTACTTGACTTTTTAAACGTTTAATTCCATGTTTTAGCTTAATAGATTTTCAAAATCGCTAATGCAAGCACAGAGAAACAGGATTGAAATGTTGCTGTTGAGTTCAAAACCTTTTGGATAAGGTTAAGATGGGATGCAAAGGCTAAGAGAGAAATTATTTGCTCCTGCATCCTATCTTGAAAAAAATTCTAACCTGAATATGGAAGCTTAAATGTCAAGTGTGACACACTGCGACTTACAGCTGCCAACAAGACCGATTATCAAATATCACCTCCTACCTGAAAAAGCTACAGTTAAAGTGGGACATTGAAGAATGATTCATGTATTTTTTTCCCTTGATTAGTATATCCATCTTTACAGTGTTTCCATAGTATTGCTATCTTTTCTTGCTGCTGGTACTCTGCTATCAGTCTGTGTCTTTTCTGTATGATTTCAATTACCACCCATCAAATGGCCTTAAAAGCTTCACAAATTTAGGATAAATTGAGATGACATACTGCCAGCAAAGAATATCGTTGATAAGAATTGAAAAAGTTACATTTCATTTCACACAAAGTGATAAAGGCAGCATGGGGGAGCCACGGTGTGAAACCATGAACTGTAAGATCTCCGCGACTCTTCAAACGTCTGTGTCCAGTGGGGGAGGGAAGTCCAGACACGGTGACAGCGAGTCTTGACTGTGTGTGGAGCTAATCCCGGTGTCTGAGTCTGTGTCTGTGACGTCTAACGGGGACAGGCTGTGTTTGGGTGTCGCTGTTTGGGACGCGCTGCACTGAGCCTGGCTCTTCACACAGACCGGCACTGGCTGTTTTTCCTCCACAACGTCCATGATCTTCAGCGAGTTCAGCTGCGCGGCCAGCTGCCAGCACTCCTGGTCTTTGGCAACGAGCGTATTGTCGAAGTACTTGAGCTGCTTTTCCATCTCTGCAGCCTGGTTCTGGAGAGCCACGCCGCTGAATATTCCGTGTTTCAGTTCCTCCTGCAGCCTCGCGAGCTCAGCGGTGTAAAACGCTTCTTCTGTTTCAGAATGAAAGCCGGACGCGGCCGAAGCTAATTGCTGCTCACCGTTCTTCTCATGGACCAAAGGGAAGCCATCCTTCCTCAGCTCGTTGTCTATGTCCCGGGACAGCTGGAGGATGAGCTCCTGGTGCTTCTGGACCTGCATTTCCAGGTTTACAACCCCGTCGCTGGTGTACAGATACTCCTGCAGCTGCTCCTCGCTGTACTCCGGCAGAATGGGGCCACTGGCCTGAGCCAGAGAACCCTCGGATTGGGCCTCCTTCTGCGCTTGCTGCTCGAATCGCTCTATCTCCAAATCCAAGTCCCGCATCCTCTGGATCTGCTCTCGGATTGCGTGGTCCTGGTTCAGAACGAGCTGCACCATGCGCTCCACCTCCTCGGCCCCCGGGGAGCTCCTGCTCTCCTTGTGAAGCTTCTCAAGCTTCCGGAAAGCCTTTTTCACCAGCCGTTTCTGCTTCTCCGCGGGCAGAGGCTGGGCGTACTGAGCCTGGCCATGCTCCCAACGTTTGGGCCGCGCCCCTCTGGACTTTAACGTTTTCTTCGTGGGCTGGGGCACGAAATCGCTGGTTTTCACCATAATGAACTGAATAAAGGGCCGCTGGTCCCCCCAGGCGTACCAGAGCCTCAGGATTCTGGTGAGAGGGGGCAAGGCCCTTTCGAACCCCTTCCATCTCTCCACTAGGCAGAATTCTTTGGGCTCTCCGTGCAGGAGTCGCTTGCTCTCTGGCATGGACTTTTGGTCCTCCAGTAGTGCCTGAATCATATCGGCACAGGTCGTGTGCTTCGTTACTCCACAGACCACCTTTTCTTCGTTGCAGACTGTAACTTGAATCTCCTTTCCAACCACCGGCTCGGCATCTTTTGTCCTGATGGAGGGACAGAAAAACAACAAAATGATATCCGTGAATGTTTACAATCGTTTCAGTATTTTGCATCATGCTGACAAAATGTATTATTCCTGTATGACGTACAATGTTAGACTAATATGGGGCTTTCCTGAGTTCAACAATGAAATATAAGTAATCTCAATATTGGTATTTAGAGATGTCGTGATTAAAGTAGCTAAACCCAATGTGATTCTAAGACCATTGTTGACTAAATCTACTATTAAGTTGACATTTGCAAGGCACACTTATGGATGATTTTAAGAAAAGGCCTATAAGGAAATCAGGCCATGTCCCTGTGGGGAAAAAAAAAATTTCAGGTCGAAATTGAACACGTCGATAGCTGATTAGCAAATGTTAGCACTGATAAGCTAAATATTAAATTGGCTGATAACTCACTGTTGTGGGTCCATTATGTGATGTGTGCATGGACTTGGTATGAGTTATGATATAATTTTGTCATAGTTTGTGGAAAATACTGAGCAGAAACACTGGCTGAATACAAATTTAAAGATGAGGAATTTCTGTGCAAAAGCGCCAAGTCAGATGGGATTTTTATGACATTTTGTTTGTTAGAGGTGACAATTTAAACAGTTTGCTGATTACATTTTAGTGTCAAATTCAGCCATCAACAGCAGATATAACGATTTTTTTTAAAAACGTCTTTTAAATTTTCTCATGTTTTGAATAAATTAAGTCAAATGCCAATGAACATGTCTGATAAGGGCATTGCAATCAGGCCCCAGAGCCAATGACATGTTTCAATTGACATAAACTCCCAAAAACTAGGTGCCTTGGTGGTCTTGTTTTTCTATAGATCAAAGACCACTGCAGAGAAATAAGTAAGAGAAGGAAGATGTCAAAAGAGTCCCTAACAGAACCTGAAACCTTAACAATGACACTTCAATGGCTTTAACCCTTAGGCCCATTAAGCATCCTTAAAAGGAAAATTATTCATTTAAAAATAAATAAAAAAAATCATAAAACATCAGATATACTTACAGGAGCAGTTTCCCACGTAACAATCCATACACTTTCACTGTTGCTTTTTAGGATCTTTTACCTCTAAAGGATGTATGTTTCCATAACTGGATCCCACTTTAATGGTTTTCCATTAGGTCAATGGGCAGAAAACTACATTCACTCATTTCATGCTCCATGGCTTGATTCTATTACGCTGTTACTCATCGTATTACTCATCAGAGATGATCATTTAATGGTTTGGTTCTGAGCTATTTAACCCCATGGCGCACATTACATTTTTGTCTGGCCTGTAAAACTGCAAAAATTGACCACTGATGTACCAAAGATATTCATTTTTTACATGGTTAATGGAGCGCCGGTAATAACCAGGACCTAATTTTGTCTCATTAAATGATAGGCGCCGTAATGCAGAGAGCCACAAGTAATCAAATAAGTAGATAAAATTGGAAGACATTTTAATGTGATTTTAGGATAAAGAATGATGTATCATGTTATTGTTTATGTGAAAGATAACACGTTTAAATATTCAACAGTACATTTGATTTACTAAGTTCACTCAATTGAAACACCCTTCCAAGTTTCTGTCTCTGTGAATTATTCATATTTAGAGTTAAACCCTACTCTGAAAACATAATTGTGTGACATACAATATTCCTATAACTATGTTGCTAAAGAAACCAAAGAAAAAGATTATCCTTATAATATCAGCAGGAGACAAAACCTTGAGCTTCTCTTCTTATCCTAAACTAAGGAGTGATTTTTGTGGGTTTAAGGAATATTGGTCTGTGGTTTTGCTAGCCTTTGACAAAATTTCATTAATCTGTTAAAAGCAATAAATCAAAGTAATATTGTGAATTGTGTTGAGCTTTGAAGAGAAGAAGGTCACAAATTTTGTTTTAAAATATGAAAACAGTTTAGTCATGGGACAGAAACTACTGGGGTGAACATGCTTCAGTGAAGTGTCTTAAAAATACAGATTTGCTTGTGGTCAAAATGAATAACTGATATCTATATATTTTTTTTATTTTAAATCAAATGTAGCGGTCCTGCCCTTATCTACTTGGATTATCTTGCTTAAATGTGACATCTTAACCAGCGTTTGCATGGAGGAAAGACATTAAAAAATATAAGAGCTAACTAAAAGACTCAGAAACTCCATCCACTGTAAAACAGCACAAATAAGACATTATGGGGAATAACATTACTACTTAAAAGATATTCCTTAAATTCTACGTTTCACTATCTCAACGGTTGTGCAAATGTTTCCAGAAAATGTGTTTTTCTGCAGAGTGGGAAACACGGCACAAAAGAGCACATCTGTGTGTGCTAGATGAATAAGGTTCTTGGAATGTGATACAACGTAAGAGACTGGTTAATGGTTGTTCAGAGGCTCTGAAAAGAGCTTGGCAAAGCAAATCCCACACAAATCCAGAGCGTCTGTGGCGTTCCTAGCCAACGAGCACGGTAGCAATTGTAAGCTCAAAAAATATCCAACTGCTTCTACCATTATTACAGCCCACGGCTACTGCTCACCAAAGCAAAACAGTGGGTGCACAGACAAATAGCCACACCTGTGCCGCACAACACAGTCACACAACAGCACTGCATTACCTCACACGTTAGTGCTGCTTACAGTAGAAGAATAGAAGCCATTTCTCAAGACAGGCTCAGAAATTCTAAACAAAAATCAACTATATACAGATATGTTTCAATATACGGAAGCATAAATATTTCCATGAAACCTCAAAATGGTAGGGACATATGTCCGTGGTCATTTATGAACACCGAGGTGAATAAACATGCTCCGTAAACAAATGTGTACTTCGGTGACAGCGGCCCAGGCCCTCAGCTGGACCGGAAGAGGGTACAGCAAAGCAAGGAAGCACCTGTGTTTGTCCTGGGCCACAATCATTAGCCCTCAGGCCACATCCTGCAGCCCCAGTTTAATGGACAGTGGGAGGAAGAGGAATAATGGATTCCATATCGGTCACTGCTGGTCTGTTTTCAGCTCCACTCTAATGTGAAGAACGCGTTGACCAATGTTTGCTTGCAACAGCATTACAAGGGATGATTGGAATTGTTTCGGACAGCAAAATGTCATTGATTTAACTGCGAAAAAACTAAATACTAGCATTAAGTTCATTCAGGGCCACAATTATTATGACTTAAATCTGTTTCTAGCTAGCTGTACATTAGAAAAGCTTGAATGCAAAACTTGGCTATCATAATTTTGTTCCTGTGATACTTTAACTTGCAATAAATCTAGAGAAATTTAAAGTGAGCACAAGAAAAACTATTTTCAACAAATGGAAAATTTCATGTTAGAAGTTTTACAGCATCCAGTTTTTAACCTGCTGTAAAATGTGCTTAAAGTTCTTCATATTTACATGTTTTTTGTATGAATGCAACCAGTCCAAACTCTTTGATACAGTTAGAAAAATCTCACTGAAAACAAACACTTTTATTTCTATGGGAACTTGAGATCTACAAAAACATATCTCTGGAACCAGTGTAATTACTTCATAAGGAATTTTGCAAGAGAAAAATATTTTGATAAGACTATCAGTTCTTGGGAATGCAAAAAAAATCCCTCTCAGAGCAAACACAAGTACTTTATGCATCACTCAAAACCAAACCAGTCATACGGGCTGTCAATGCTGGTGCCATTTCGGATCCAGTTTCCAGATGCAGCTAGTGATAGTGCACAATATGTAACACATTTAACTGATAAAGTATAAAGCACAAACTGTGTTGTAAAAGGAAAAAAAAATGTATAAACCTCCAAATTAACTCTTTAAAGCCTGATCCAAGAATAAAACAAAACAGAAAATGACTTTTTTTTGTTTGAATTCCTTATTTGGCCTTCTAACAAAATATTTAAAAAGGAAAAACTGAAATTCATTTTTAGTATTAATAATTTATCACTATGTGATAAGTCAAGATTATTTTTTGTGTAGTCTTCTGCCCCCTGTTATCAGGTGTATCTGATTGTGTACAATAGGATTTTGAGCAAAGTTTTTACCATTAAATTATGCAAAAGGTGTCAAACGCAAAACATTTCAGAAACCGTATGCATCAAATATGACACATTTGGCATTATAGGGTTAAAATTAACAATAAAAACTTGAATTGAACTGTACAGAGAAAGACAGGGCAGGAGGACAGGTTATAGCTGAACGTTTTACGCTTGAACGCACTCAGGAAAACCTGAGCAAACCGGCTTTACCTCAGGTTGAACTCAGAGGCAGCGATCCACAGGTAGACATCCGCCATGTGGGAGGAGACCACTTCTGAATTACAGGAATCGTGTAGCAGGGCTCTGTGTGGAGTGATTGCGTTGCACTTCTACGGTGGTGGCATTGCCTCCTTCACTGTAACCCTCATAATAACAACCTTGTAATACTCTCTTGTGTCATAAATTCGCCTTCTACAAGTTAGCACAAAGGAGAGTTTTCTGGGGGTTTGAACAAGTCGTAGCTCAATTGTCCCAGCTATGTCTCTGATCTGATTGAGAGCCAATGCCATCGACAGTTCTATACAGTAGCTTTCATCACATGTTAACTCTGACACGATTTAAATCATAGTTATGAGGAAGGAAGTTTTTCCTTGCCTGTGTCGCCTAGTGCTTGTTCATGGTGGGAATTGTTGGGTTTCTGTAATTAACTTCAGAGTAGGGTCTGACCTGTTCTGTTTGGAAAGCACCGTGAGACAACTGTTGTTGTGATGTGGCGCTAAATAAATAAAATTGAATTGAATTGAATTGAATTATATTAGCATATAGATTAAATGATATTGGAATAAGCAAAAAAAAAAACAAAGATTGAACCAAACATCGAGGTAGAGCACATATTCACCACCAATGTTGGTATTTATTTTGTGATAACACTTAAACTCATCTACCTGAGATCAAATCATTGGTTTGCTCTTAATGTCACATAAAAACTGAGGTGATTTTGCTCCATTGTATATTAAATAAACCTTTCATTTTTTGTCCTAAGAGTCTCATACCTCTCCATCCACTGCTGTCGCTTTGTGAGAATGTGAAAGATTGTCCTCGGGGTAAAGCTGTCCCCACTGGGCATTTGTTTTGGCAAATACAAAAATTAGAGTAAGGTTTAAAGTCATTTACAGTCAAGCAAACCGTAGTTCAAGGTAACACTACTCCAGCTCCACCTTCTCCCACTTCCGTGCGAGAACAGTGTTGCTTGTCAAAGGAAACATTGAGAATGATGTTTGCTCCAATGTTTAAACACTCTTAGGAGTCCTTTCCCTCCTGTTGCTTGTAGGGACGGCAGTTTAGAAGATTTATTGTGTCGATTGGAGAGCCTGTTGGAACGTGCAAGGATTTCAAGTGCTGAATTTTAAAGAAAAAAAAAAAAAAAAAACCTGTAATATGGTCTCTCAATGAGCATGTCACAGAAAAGAGGAGGGCCTCGGTAAAATAAAAAGATGAAAAAGTTAACTTACCGACCCTTATCTCTTCAACCATCTTCCATGTTATGATAGGGAGAGACAGGGTGGGGCACATTTTATTGGCGCTTACAGAGAAACGTGTGAAGTTTAAAAAACTGTAAGGGGGATTTTAAGGATTTCTCCCACGCTGACTGGGTTTTCAACTATCATCCAAAAACAAAATAAATAACCATTCTAATTGAGAGGTGTCTTAGTTTTTCCTGATATCTTTACCAATAACAGCACATACGTTTTCACTTTTTGATTCAGCATATCCACATCTGTGACTTCTCCCTCCACCACATAAATTACATATAAGTATTTAATGTGTGATGCATAAAGTAGAGCCAATGAAAAAAGTCAATAGGTTTGAATCTTTTTTTTATCTGATTACGTTGCTGAAGTGCAGCTTAGAGGTTAACAATCATGTTGAAATATGCCCGGAGATGGAGATAAAGGTTTACCAGAAATGTTATCTGTTTAATAGCGGACATTTTGCAAATGTCAGCCTAATGGCAAATACATTTGAAAAATAAAAGGAATAATCAACCTCAGAGACAAAAGTCCTTTGAGCACAAAATTAAATTAAATAGTGGCCAATTAAGTTGGTGTCAAGGTATTTTCAACTTGGATCTCCTGGTTAACAGAGTGAAATCATTATGCAAAGTTACAGAAAAATGTGTCAAATATCTTTAGAAGCTCCTTAACTTATTCTCACTAAAGTAATCTCTTCTAAATACGGCGTGTCATTAAGCATTTTTGACAGGAAATTATTGAAACTAAACCCTTAAAATCAGTGGAAAGGAACAAGGCGGCCGATATGGACCATCAGGCACCACATTACACCGGTCAAAATTAGCCCAGCAGAGCTGACTTCCTTCCTTTCAGAAAAGATCACGTAGATAAGAATCATAGTACAGTGTGGACATGATATACAATTTGTATTAGGCAATAAATTGAACACAAAAATGGAGGACAGAAGCTATCCACTGCTGGACAGAAAATGCTTCCTCTTGTCCTTATCTGGAAGAGGATGAGGCATTGTCGAGGAAATAACATCACCTTTCTATCTGGATCTGTTTATCTTTGGGATGACTCGCTCCCTGATAGGCATCTGTGAGCAGAGACACAACACCCCTCCCCTCCTCTCCGTTTCCTCTGAAACCCCCCCCCCCAACGCCCATTATTTTCTACTTCATGCAGGTCCGTGAATCACCCAATTAGATTTTTTTCATCTTAAAGACAAATGACTTCTTTAGCATCTTTTAGCACTAGTAGCGTCTTTCTTTGTTATTTACTCATGCCAGCTATTTTGTATGAACTCAGTATTTAAAATAGTGATTTGGGCCTTTGAAAGATGCTGTATTAAAGCACTGTGTTAGTTTGACAGCATATATTGTCCTGTGTTGACTGGCAACCACTTAAATGTGAAGTGTGTCATGAAGATCTATGCCAAAAAATAGCTCATATCAAAAATGATGTTTCAATTAGAATCTAATTGCTTTGCTTGATGAACTGATTTGCTACATTAGAAAGAAACATTCATTTATCTATTTGTGTTAGTGCCACGGGTCCATACTGGAGAGCGGCCATGTTATGATGGCCTGCAAGTATAAGGAGTATATAAGGAGTGTTTTACAGTGCAATTTGGGATTAGTCTTTTTGAAAAAATTGGTCAAACATTTGGATTTAGTTCAGACTTGAACAAGACTGGCAATTATAACAAACTTGTCTATTAAGGAACTGAATTGAAAATCTACTCTGTCAACCTCCTGAGAAAAATGCCTCACAATAGTGTCATATTTCAGAATTTTAGACAGTTTTTGGAATAGTTTTTGAAGCTGTAGTTAGTAAAACATGCTAAAACTCCAGTTTTAAACCTATTTATGTATTCAACTGCCACCTATAAAATGTCCCGGTAACATTTTGTTGGATACATCTATTGCATCATCATGCCTTAAAAACAGCGTTTTTTTTTATTTGACAAGCAAACTACAGCCCATTCAGAATCCGGAGCCAATTTTGGGTATATGTACACAAGAACACCCATTCCTCTTAAACTTTTCTGTCCAGAACTATCTCAAAACACTAGAGAAAAAGAAGCTGAGGACAGAAAGCAAACGGCTCTTTTTGAAAGTACACGAGCAGAACAGGCTGAGCCGGCGGGAGCTTTTTTAATCAGATTGTAGTAACTGTAGAGACTTGTGTGGCAGATGGAACAGCTTATTAACAAAGACAGCAACAGTCAAACCTAGCCCTGATTCTTTCAGTGCGTCACCATCCATCACTGAACCTTCTCCTACTTCAAAACTACCAAACAACGAACAATAAAACAAACTCCCCAATCTCACAACGCTTGCAGAAAATCTCCTGGCGTGAACTTGACTGTATTTGAATGTGCAGATACAGTATTTGCCATCAGCAAACGTCAAACTCTAGTGTTTCAGTGCGTTTCAGCTAGTGTCTGTAATCAAATGCTTGACACATCAACAGATCTAAACACTTGACATAATTATAGGCACCACAATGGTAATTACTGTGCGACACGCACACACACACAGGCAGAGCAAAAGAAAACACAAGACATCCACTTGAGACAACTTCAGTCTGACTGTTTGAAGTTTTTTTTTTTTTTTATCAAAGATCCCATTCAGATGTCTCTGATGTGAAAATACATAATTCAGCTGTTGGTGCCGCTGTCAGAAAATAAATAAATATATATATATATACATAATATAGCATAAGGGCCATCTCTGAAATAAAGCCAAACATCTTTTTGCTAGCGTTTGTTGTATTTTAACAGGCAGAGCTAATGAATACACTTCTATTTTCTTGATCCTACTCTTGTCAGTCCTGCAGGAATGGGATCCTGACCCAGATACTCTGAAACACAAACTCTGTTTGTCAACCCGGCGCAACAAAAGGCTGCCGTCAACAAACCAAACAGAACTTCTGCGGCAGTAACAGTAGACAGCAGCTTTGTACTATGTACACCTAATTTCCCCACCTTCTGAGAGCGTGGCAGGACCCCAGCTGCAGCCACAGACTTCAAAAGGCCGAGTCAGGCACTTAGGGAAATTGCTTTGGCACGTTATCTCAGTCTTGATGATAGGATCTGGGTAAAGCCCAAGCGAAAACGTTCTCATGGCCCCACTGTACCTGATGAAATGCCTGCCTTTTAAGAAATCAACACATTTGTGGATGTACAGTTTCATTTGAGGACCACCACTGGAGGCCACACAGGCTGGGAGCCGAGTCAAATTATAGCTCTGAAAAAACAAAAAGCTCCACCGCTTCGCAATGCACACTGTAACTCAATTTATTTGGACTTGTCTCATAATTTAGCCTTAAAATGTAACCCTGGTGTTAACATGGTAAAAAAGAAAAGCAGAAAATTGATTTTAAGTCTAAAGAGACTGGACAGTTCAAGTTTGTCATGAGATAACACAGTAAAAATGAGTTTTATCTGCGTCCTGGGCAGAATTCCGAGGCAGAATTTGCCTCATTCTAAGACTTTCTTGGATTGCACTGCCATTCTCTGCCACAGGCTGTAGATTTTTTTCCTAACAGATGAGCAAATGTTTTTACAAAACTCCAGTAATTGAACCCACTTCTTGTGCACTTCCCTCTTAATCTCTGGTCGTGCGTAATTCGTCCTCCAAAACGTCTAAATAGTGCGCTTTCCAACACACGGGGCCAGGGCTGAGAGAAAAACACACTCAACAGGTTCCATGAAACCTAAACCTCATCTATCAAGTTACCTGTTCTTCAATCGAGCCTTGAGAAAGTTTCTCCCGAACGGAGCCATGACTCTGGAGACAGGAGGAAGACGTTCTCCGACGATCCGAAAAAAAACGCGCTAACGCGGCCCCGGCATGGCACCAGGCGGAGGGAAGACTTATCTGGGACGTTTTAGGGAAAGTTCAGAAGCGTCCCGGCTACAACTCTGTCCGTCCCATCCCAAAAAGCGGAGGGAGGTGTTTCCTGAAACAGAAAAATACTCTGGTGAAACTCTGCCCCCTTGTACGAGCAGGAACTAAAGCGCGCAACTGCGCTCTTTTTTCTCTTCTTAAAACTGCGAGAAAAGTTACCCAAATTAACCCTAATCCCAAATGTATCATATTTGATTCATACGGTTTCTGAAGTCTTTTGGATCTGAGACTTTTTGCATCATTCAGTGGTAAAAGCTTTGCTCAAACCCCTGTTGTACACATTCAGATATACCTGATAACAGCCAGTAGAAGACTACACCAACATACATTTCTGACTTATTGCACACTAATTTGATCAAAATTCTGTTTTTTTTTATATGTTGTTGAGGGGCCAAAAAAATACTTCAGACTAAAAAAATCCAATATTCTTTCTATTTTTCTTGGATCAGGCTTTAAAGGGTTAAATATAAGGGATGGGGAAAGAACTTAATGTATAGGAAATAAGAAGACGACTATTGTGTTCAAAATTCTTTCAGAATAAAAGAAAAAAAAATAGCCTAAGTGCAGCCTGTTTTTAAGATTATCCCTGAAATATCAAAATATATTAAACAAACTGTGCAGATGGAATGTTGAAAACAGAGGAATGCAGCCTGATTTTCTTTTTTCCTTATTTTTAATGTTTTTGTTTTTTTAGCTTTGTGTTCATGGTCGAAGTATCTAAAACCAAAGATAGTTTCAGAAGTAGTTCCAACTGGGCTGTTTACTGGGGAGCCAATTACTGTTTGTCAAAGGCTTGCATACATAAACAGGAAGTAAGATTTCCAAATACTGATGGGAACAGCTTTGTGTCATTTTTATCCAGAGTGAGTTTTAAATGTACTGCAGTATTACGTATCTCCAAAAAACTGTCTATGTCTTTCTTATGTGTTCAAGTTTCATTGGCAGCCTGATTAAAAAAAAAATCAAAATACTTATCAAAAGGATATATAAGAAAAAGTTATCCTTTAGTCCTTCCTTATCAAATACTCTCAGAGAACCGACACGCTAACAGGCAGAACATGGAACCTCTGTGTTCTCAACTTCCACCCTCCATTCAATGTTGCCACTTACTTCTTCTCAGGGTTGCCCATTTTTATTTGCTGAGGGGTACACCCTGAACAGTTCAAATTAAAGCCTAGCTCATGTAAAAGAAAAGCAAACGTATAAAATACAAAAGGTAGGAATGCTGGACTTCAAACAGCACCATATGCTCCGCTTTGTGCTGAAGATGTGGGCACACACAACTCTGGTTCCACAGCAAAAGAGGCTCTGATCCCTCATAGTCCCAATGCAACACCTACAGTTTCCTACAGTTTCCTTCAAAGGGGAACACTTATAAGCCCTCAAAACCTCTGTCACACTTTCAGTACAACTTATTACTCTGTGAGGGTGAAGTTTTAGACCTCTGTTCCACATCTCAAGAGAAAAATACACTGCTGCTTTTGAATAATGAGGGTCAATCATCTGAATTGGAATTGTATTTTATATGTATTTGACATAGTTGCATTTCTTGTATTTCTGATGTACATTAATATATCAGTAAATACCTAAATGGAACATCAGTTTTAGGAAAATCTTCTTTATAGCCAAAAATACCTACTGGTGCCAATCTAAGCCTTATTCTTTAAAGCATAAAGAATGAACTTAGAAGGAAATTTGCACAAAATTGAGAGAATAAATTAAATCTGACCCTCTACCAACTCATGTTCTAGATTATAGCCACTTAAGACGAATAGCTTTAAATGGAAAAAACACAAAATTATATAGTTCATGTTTTGCCAGCTAAGATAAGAATCATAACAGTTTTTTGAAAAAGTAAAACATTTTCTATCTCAAAAGGGACACAGGGACGGGGTCTTATATCCGCCCCCTCCCACATCACCCCGGTTAACCATCACTGGAAGACGAACGCAAAACAAACTCAGACCAAACGCAGTCATGAGGGCAGATAACCACATTTACCAAACCATGACGCAAGAAATTTCGCCTTGTGATGCCAAAGTGACGTCTGACACGGTGGCAGGGTGGAAAAAAAGATGCTCTGGTGAGAGATGAGTGGGGGGGGGGCATGCCAGTGGGTGGGACAGCGGGGATGGAGATGAGGAGAGGAGAGGAGAGGAGATGGGAGGGTGTGAGGGCTCAGAGACCGATCCTCTGACATCATATTGCCCGTTATATACTGGGGGAATGGAGCTTGTTGCACTTCACATTCAACCAGAAAACTGCCAAAGCGCTTTGGGACATTGAGGACAAGAAGAGAGAAAGAAAAAGAAAAGAAAGAAGCCACAGCTCCACTGTACATTCCTCTCCAGCCTTTCCGACGTTTTGACCCCTTCACCTTATGGACTAAATTCCTTCTCAGGTGACTTCATCTGTGTGGAAGCCTATTTTTTTTTTGTTGCTATTATTGAACTTTTTCTCATCAAGATGCAGGCACAGTTGGCATGTGTGGTTTTCCTCTGTTTCACGTGTGGCGCACTTTGTACAGGTAAGCAACACGGCTCTCTCAGAAGCTTGAGTGGATCATTTAATGACCTCAATAATAAAAAAAAAAGAAACAAAAATGACAGAGTTTATGTCAGTTTCCTCAGAAACTCACTCTGTGCAAGTGGTGCATCATTTTGTTCTACTTTGTTTAATTCAAGAAATCTGCAATAAAGTTGCTTTGTAGTCTGAACGTTTTATATAAAATGGTTATAACACCAGAACTGTGTAAAGTGCTTTTGGAGTTCAGGAAAATAATCAGTTGTTTGGTTGAAAAGAAAACAGCTTTTGTCTCTCTGTTTCAGAAGTCATGATCCATCATCCATCCATCCATCCATCCATCCATCCATCCATCCATCCATCCAT